AGTCAACACTGAGTAACAACAACAACAACATTGAGTAACAACAACAGTCAACACTGAGTAACAACAACAACAACACTGAGTAACAACAACAGTCAACACTGAGTAACAACAACAACAGTAACGACAGCAGCAACAAAATCATCAACAGCATCATCATGAATAACAACAACAACAACAGCAACAACAACAACAACAACAACAACAAGGCTGGAAGAGTCTTTACATATTCAAATGAACGAATTACGAATTCTTGGCTGCGAAGTCCGATTGTATGACTGTGGTCGTGGGGTATCGCAAAACCACATCAAATTCATTCCATAGATAAATTTTTTTAACATTCTGTCTACATTGACTACAACGCCTCTGCATATTTAGTCCAGATGGCTTTCGTTTACTTGACTTATTCAGAAGGTACGAGCGTCCAAAGATAATCTATCTAGAATTCGTACATTGGCTTCGATCTCAAGTATACATTGAACACGGTATAAACGTAAATAAATATGTAAAAATATTACATAAATTTTGAAATATGTAGTAGTTTATTCAACAGCAATAACAATAGCAGTAACAACGACAACAGCAGCAACAAAATTATCAACAACAACAACAACATGTAGTCGGAAGTAGTCGGAAACCGAAAATATTTCTGACGTATGCAATATTGTAATTTAATTATTTAAACGCATGCTTATATAAATTCTGCATGTTTGTGATGGCTACAATTGACAAACGTTTTTGACCGCAAAACGAAAGGTTTTTAAACCAAACTTGAAAGAAAAATGATGAATACTATACTCCAACAAGCTGTTTCCTTTCGTTCAACCGTGCCAATATTGTTAACATTGAGTGTGGCTCCGCAATATTTATTTGCTTGGTCATTATGGCGTGCTGTGTCCTCGATATTGCCCAGGAAAGTGTACGAGTATGTTGATGATAAACTGTATGATACGTATCAGACTATGGTTGTGTTCTTTTTCGAGAACTATGCAGGCACTGAGGTAAGCCATGCAAGTTTGAATGGCACTAGTACTTCATGTTGTAGCCCACATTCCAATGCTGACCCCCTGGAGAAAGTGCACTAAATTACACACGTAAAAGTTACAAGTCTGCAAACAAGTTGTTGCAAATCTGTTCACAAGTTGTCTTCGCACTGCTTGTTCCCAGTTGTTTTAACAAGTTTGTAACGCTGTTAACAACTTGTAACACGCTTGGTGGCATTATCTGACTTGTTACAAGGCTCTGCAGCAAGTAATAATAATAATTACAATATTTAGTCGGAGTCCACTCACGAAAGTGATTTTCAGTGGAGCCCTGATAAAACAAGAAGTATAAGTATAAGTCTGATACAGCCATGACATAACAAGCATATTATAAGGTTGTCAACACAAGCACAGAATAGATACAGGACCAGAAGTGTCACTCAGACGATATATTTTGTCCGAAATTTTACGAGTGCTGACGTGAAAATACGCCATCATATGACGCCATCCTGGAGTGCACACGGAAGTTTTTCATAGGAAAACATAGGTCCAAAGTGCCGCCCGGGTGCACTCCAGGATGGCGTCATATAGCACGCAAAAAAATTTCGGACGTTTTCTTTCAGCCAAAACACATAGGAGTGACACTTCTGGTCCTGTATCTATTCTGTGACACAAGGTTGTAACAATTTGTTATATCAAGCATGTAACAGACTTGTCAGAACAACCTTGTAACAAGTCTGATAATTTCGGCAAGGTCATTTCAAGCAGTGCAAAGACAACTTGTTGACGGCTGGTTGACAAACTTGTTACAAGATGTTAAATTTTTTGCGAGTGTAACAGACGATTTCAGGTCACTTTTCCAAGGTGTGGTTTCCAAGTTTGTTGTAAATATTCCCAATTACATTTCTAAATTTGGAATATTGGGTGTGGAAATTGCAAAGCCAACTTCACAAGTACCAAAGTACTAAACATTAACTTCTAATTTGTAGTCCTTTAACTACACACGTAAAAACGCACAAGTTATAACAAACCTGCAGCAGACTTGTATCAATGCTGTTCCAAAAACTTGAAAACAGCATGTGTTCGCACTGCTTGTTCCCAGCCTGTTAACAACTTGCTACAATGTTGTTGAGCTCAACAGACTTGTTACAAGTTGTTCCAATTCAATTTGTTCTGCAAATTCCATATCATCCTGCAATTCAACAATTTTTCAGCAAGTTGTGAGTGACAACCTTGTAGCAACTTGATAAAATAACAGTATTGTTACTAGTTAACAAATTTGCTGCAAGCCTGTTATGAACACATCTTGTTGACAAGTTGTTGGAACAGCATTGTTCCAACTTGTTAACAAGTTTGCTACAATTAATTAAGCCTTACTGTGAAACACATCTTGTTGACAAATTATTGGAACAACATTCTCACAACTTGTTAACAGGCTTGCTACAAGCTTGTTGGGAAGGCATCTTGTTGACAAGTTGAACAGCATTGTCACAACTTGTTAACAAGCTTGCTACAAGCCTATTGCGAACACATCTTCTTGAAAAGTTGTTGGAACAGCATTGTCACAACTTGTTAACAAGCTTGCTACAAGCCTATTGCGAACACATCTTCTTGAAAAGTTGTTGGAACAGCATTGTCACAACTTGTTAACAAGCTTGCTACAAACCTGTTGCGAACACGTCTTGTTGACAAGTTGTTGGAACAGCATTGTCACAACTTGTTAACAAGCTTGCTACAAGCCTATTGCAAACACATCTTCTTGAAAAGTTGTTGGAACAGCATTGTCACAACTTGTTAACAAGCTTGCTACAAACCTGTTGCGAACACGTCTTGTTGACAAGTTGTTGGAACAGCATTGTCACAACTTGTTAACAAGCTTGCTACAAGCCTATTGCGAACACATCTTCTTGAAAAGTTGTTGGAACAGCATTGTCACAACTTGTTAACAAGCTTGCTACAAACCTGTTGCGAACACATCTTCTTGAAAAGTTGTTGGAACAGCATTGTTACAACTTGTTAACAAGCTTGCTACAAACCTGTTGCGAACACGTCTTGTTGACAAGTTGTTGGAACAGCATTGTCACAACTTGTTAACAAACTTGCTACAAACCTGTTGCGAACACATCTTCTTGAAAAGTTGTTGGAACAGCATTGTCACAACTTGTTAACAAGCTTGCTACAGCAAGCTTGTCAACAAGTTGTAACAATGCTGTTATTTTATCAAGTTGCTACAAGGTTGTCACTCACAACTTATTGACAAATTGTTGAATTGCAGGACAATAACAAGTTGTTGGCAGGAGCAACTTGTAACAAGTCTGTTGAGCTCAACAACCTTGTCAACAAGCTGGGAACAAGCAGTGCGAACACATCGTGTTGACAAATTGTTGGAACATCATTGCTACAAGTATGCTGCAGGTTTGTTACAACTTGTGCGTTTGTACGTGTGTAGCGAACAAATCTTGTTGACAAGTTGTTGGAACAGCATTATCACAACTTGTTAACAAGCTTGCTACAAACCTATTGCAAACATCTCGTTGACAAGTTGTTGGAACAGCATTGTTACAACTTGTTAACAAGCTTGCTACAAGCCTATAGCGAACACGTCTTGTTGACAAGTTGTTGGAACAGCATTTTTATAACTTGTTGACAAGCTTGCTAGTATTTTTACAACTTGTTAACAAGCTTGCTACAAGTTTGTTGCAAACACATCTTGTTGACAAGTTGTTGGAACAGCATTGTCACAACTTGTTAACAAGCTTGCTACAAGCCTGTTGCGAACAAATCTTGTTGGCAAGTTGTAACGTTGGAACAACATTGTCACAACTTGTTAACAAGCTTGCTACAAGCTTGTTAGGAAGGCATCTTGTTGACTAGTTTTTGTAACAGCATTATCACAACTTGTTAACAAGCTTGCTACAAACCTATTGCAAACATCTTGTTGACAAGTTGTTGGAACAGCATTTTTTCAACTTATTATTAACAAGCTTGCTACAAATCTGTAGCGAACACATTGGTTGTCACAACTTGTTAACAAGCTTGCTACAAGCCTGTGCGAACAAATCTTGCTGACAAGTTGTTGGAACAACATTGTCACAACTTGTTAAGAAGCTTGCTACAAGCCTGTTGCGAGCACATCTTCTTGGCACGTTTTTGGAACAGCATTGTTATAACTTGTTATCATTTAGCTTGCTACGAGCTTGTTGGGAAGGCATCTTGTTGACAAGTTGTTGGAACAGCATTGTCACAACTTGTTGACAAGCTTGCTACAAGCCTGTTGCGAACACATCTTGCTGGCAAGTTATTGGAACAGCATTGTTACCATTTGTTAACAAGCTTGCTACAAGCCTGTTGCAAACACATCTTGTTGGCATGTTGTTGGAACAGCATTGTTACAACTTGTTGACAAGCTTGCTAAAAGCCTGTTGCGAGCACATCTTGTTGACATGTTGTTAGAACAGCATTGTCACAACTTGTCAACAAGCTTGCTACAAGCCTGTTGTGAACGTTTTTTGTTGACAAGTTGTGAGATTTCACATGTGTAACACAGTAACACACATCGCTGACTGGTGTTTAATTCATTGGCTATATTAGTAAAATACTGCACGTAGTGAATTTGTGTTGAGAACCTTGGTACTTTAGCTCAGTACTCTGATACTTGAGTAAGCAACTTGTGAAGTTGACTGTTCACGTTCCACGCCCAATTTTCCAATTTTAGAAAAGCAATTGAAAATATTCACAACAAACTTTGGAATCTTGCTTTGAAAAGTGAACTGAAAATAGCATACTTTCTGGCTCATGTTCAATGGTTTGTTGGAGTCTGCTAACATGCACTCAGGCCATTCTGCCCAGGGCATTAAGACTTTGCTAATAACTGTTTGTTGTTTTGTCTGCAGTATAAATTTCAAAATATGTGCCTTGGGTATATTGTTTCTCTTCAGCCACTTGTGCACCTGAAATATGTGGAAAAGCATCTTGACATTTCGGGTATGGAGAGGAATGAACTCCAGCTGATTCTCGCAATGAATGGCAGTTAAGAAATGTTTGAGAAATTTTTAGGCTGAATGGTTAGGGAGAAACACTACCCAAGGTTTTATAAGTCCGACCACTTTTTGTCTTGGCCAGGCATTTTTCCTTCCAACCACAAGAATTACTCCAATTGCATTAATTAATTTATTAACTTTTGCAGCTAATATTTTATGGTGATGAAATTCCATTAGATAAGAAAGAAAATGTACTGTATTTATGTAATCACCAAAGTACAGGTTTGCGTTTAACTCCTTTTTTGCATGATTACATCTATTGTAGACTAATATGGCTTCACACCTCTCCGACATCTCACCAGTCACTACTATGGGTTAACCCAGTGCCTTTTTTCAGTGAGTAAAATTGTCTGGCGTTAGGCAGATTAAAATAATAAAGTAGGGTGCAATGCATCTGCTAGACATTGGAATGGGGAGGGAGGGGGTGCAAGTGAAATTTACCGAGTCATTTCAAACACTAATTAATATTTTATTTCATTCGAGCGAAGGCCCTTTGGACGAAGGGTCTTTTCAGGTTGTTGCGTCCCTACCAACGAAGGCTTGTTAATACTTTTGGCACTACCTACATGCACTGGCACAGATAGTTCAAGATCAGAAAAAAGTCCACTAGAATATTTTTCGATCTATACCCATTTGCATGTTAATACCCATAGAGATGCCTGCGGAGGAGGCCAGACTCCACCCAAAAACGTCTGCCACATTTTGCAACATGCTTTATTTCAGTTGACTGGGCTGTGGTAGATATGATAGCAATCAGACAGGGGAGCATGGGATCTATACGATACATTTTAAAAGACAGCTTGAAGTACTTGCCATTGTTTGGTTTTTACTTCCCTCAGCATGGTTGCATTTATGTGAGACGGAACGCATCTTCTGATGTCGTCAATATAGAAAGGTATATCTTCAATTGGCTTCAGTTCATAATCCTTCATTGATACTCAACCTTATTCAATAGTTGTTAATGGATGATTCCAGTTATAGGCAAAATTTTGATCTAGACAAGAAGAACTAAATCCATTACCATAGCTGGAAAGAGCATCTTAAAATGAGTAAAATTGCGAAATTTGGTTGCGAATTGTTGTAAAATGAGGAAAATATAGCCCTGTGACGAGGTTCGCAAATTTTGTATATATTTGTTTTACGCGCGTGAAAAATAACCATTTTTGAGCCGAAAGTGCATGGTGATTTTTACCGCGCATAATACAAATATATACAAAATTTGAGAACTTCAAAGGGCTATATATTTTCTTCATTTTACAACATTTAGCAAACCGAATCTTTGCAGTTTTACTCTTTATAAGACGCTCTTTCTAGCTGTGGTGTTGGATTTCGTTCTTCACTTCTTCTTGTCTTGATCAAAATGTAGTCTTTAGCTAGAATCACTGACCCATTATTAACAAGTGAGTGTGTCATTTTTTAGGAGGATGAAAAAATTTGAAGAGGATAAGACTTCAGTAGGTTTAATATATCTATATTCCAAATATGAATTTTTCTAATTGTCCAGTTCTAATTCTTTGACCTAACAAACGAAATTTAAATTTGTGTGATCATACAGCGTATTCCTTTCTTAAGATGTGGCTTGTTATATTTCCTGAAGGAACGCGATACGATGCTGATAAGCCTGAACAGATAAAACAAAGTCAAGAATTTGCCAAGAGCAGAGGTGGGCAAAACGATATACTTGTATGTAGGAGCCCGGCAGTAGACTGTCTAGCTTCTCTGTCGTGAGAAGACAGTACCCAAAAAATGGCGGATGATTCCAGTAATGAATAAATTTTGATCTGGGCAAGAAGAACAAAATCCATCACCACAGCTAGAAAGAGCGTGTTAAAATTAGTAAAATTGCAAAGTTTGGTTGCGAAATATTGTAAAATGAGGAAGATTGCAAAGTCATTGGTTGCGAAATGTGGGGCATTTTCTCGCGGGTAATACAAATTAACAGAAAATTTGCAAATTTCGTAGGGCTATATCTTATTTTAAATTTGAAATTGAAATAAGATATAGCCCTACGAAATTTGCAAATTTTCTATTAATTTGTATTACGCGCGAGAAAATGCCCCACATTTCGCAACCAATGACTTTGCAATTTTACTAATTTTAACATGCTCTTTCTTAGCTGTGGTAATGGATTTTGTTCTTGCCGAGATCAAAATTTAGTAAGGGTAATTGAACAATTTTTCGTGGTTGTTTTAATTTCAGGTCTGATTCCTCTAAATCATGTTTTGACTCCAAGGACGAAAGCCACCGAGGTAGGGTACACTTTGAACCATGGCTAGAATTATGAATCAATTTGAAATGCTATCTTCAGTTCTATATTGAAAAATTTAATACAGTCATGATGTTATGGTATACATGAATTTTCTCACACAGATTGCTCTCGAGACATTATCAGACCACTTTGATGCCGTTTATGATCTGACAATAGCTTATAAAGAAAAATATGAAAATATCGTACCGAGAAAGAGACCTAAGGACTTACTTGGTTAGTCAAATTAGCAGCAAGGGATAATGCTTTAGGTTTAGGTTTTGCTTATACTGAAAGAATATCATTCTAATATTAATAAGCTCGTATAATTTCCTTTCACTGAATCATTTATTTCGCGTCTTTTTGAAGAGTTTTTTGACTGTCAAGATCCAGAAATTCACGTTCATGTCAGAAGACTGACTCCTGATCAGATACCACAGGTATTTTTTAAAATTTCTCAAAACTTTTAATTGGCAAACGCTCCCTTCCGGCTCCTCCTTGTGCAATAGTGGTAATATATTCACTATTTCTAGGGTTGTGAGGAAAAGAAACAGTGGATTTATGACGCGTTTTCTCTTAAGGAGAGGTATTAGTAAATTTCTTGCTTATTTATACTATACATGCACTGACGAGCTAGCTCATTGGCAAAAACGAACACATGTTAGGTCACTGAAATGTATAGTTTAACACAGTGAACACACTGGGTCTAATCAGATTCGGAGTTTTGGTTTCAAAATTGGACTGAAAATTAGTTCCATCACACAGGACAACATACGTAGTTTGTAATTTTTAACAAAACATCTTCACAGGAAATTTACATACATCTTGCAGCAGCATATGTATGCAAATGTTGTATAATATGCTTGCTTTCAAAATTCCAACTCCGTTATTCAAATCGAAATTGTCATGACGTGTCGAAAATTCTCATTTCTGGATCAATTTGGTGTAAGGAAGAAACATATATTTTTCCAAGCCCGAAGCGTAAAGCTAAAATGTGTTGAAATCAGCTTTTTTTACACAGTACAGAATTAATTTTTGTTGTTCATATTTTTCACTTTCATAACTGTTTGAAATAAAAAAAAACTCCTTGAATTTGCTGTTTGAAATAAAAAAAACTCCTTGAATTTGCTGTTTGAAATAAAAAAAATACTCTTCAGTGAATTTGCCTTCTGGTTGAACATGTCATTCAGTTTGATGGACATGTGTAATTTGCTCTTATAGCTTATTTTCGCTCTTATTTTGACAGCTGTTTTCCATGAAACATATTCTATGTTTTCAGGATGCTATCACAGTTTTTCTCAGAAGACAGCGAAGTCCAAGGAAGATTTCCAGGCCCGTCTAGAAGACACAGAGTGCCTTTAGCCAGGACGTTATCGTGGACAATGTTTTGGGCGGGTGTTTTAGCGCCATTTTTAGCTACCAAGTATGGTAGGTCGATATACCTGAAGAGCTGGCTTGTAGGGAGTGTTGGTACTGTGTTATATATGACAATATTGTATGACAGATTGCAGAGATAGTACTATGTACTTGGTGTTAAATTAACAGAGGTTCAGATTTGACTATCACAATCGCTACCTCCCACAGGCTTAATACGCATTTTATTTGTTAATCGGGTTGAATAAATGGACCTGATTGGTTAATGGTAGCGTTGGAAGTCACAAAATCTGAACCTCTCTGATATGTCCATTAGGTTTATTGTTCCCAATTTTGTAAGAAAGCGAAAGGCTTTTTTGTGTACACAAATGAAAATATTTACGGGCTAGCTTATGAACAGGATTTGTTTAGACAGGTTTTATGCAGGGTGTATAGAAACTGGACAGTTCGAAAATGTCCGCTAAACACCAAATTCCGCCACCAAATTCGTGAAAACTTTACCTCTAAAATTATTTTGAAAAGTAAATTTTCTAGTGTAGGAGGGGCGCGTTGGACTTAATGTACATCAATTTGTCAGGTACTTTGATCATTCATAAAACACCTTCCAAATTTGCACCCTATGAATTCGGATTGCGTTTTCAAAGCCTTTCATTTTTGTGCGCAAGCCATTTTTTAAAGTGTTTTTTTTTTAAAGAAACGCCCGACCCCTGAGCCTACAACCCAAAGAGCTCTATATATATATATGGATTAAGAACTCCATTCAAAACTGAAAGCCAAAATAGAAAGTGAAGCCACGGATGGAGGATATTGGACCTCCAGACACAGCAGACAGGGCACTTATGTATATATGCAAAATGGATTAGGAGTTTCAGTTTAAAGCAATGAACTATTATCATAGACTGGACGCTCACAATCCTTGGTCATTGGAGTTAGCGTTCCAGTATATACAGTATGTAGAGTTCAGTGGAGTGTTATTTAACGCAAGAAAGCTTAATTAAAGTAGCACTGAGAGTGACTGTAGTCCAATTTATATTTCGGCCTTCAAATTCAGCATACTGATCAGTGATGACTGACGACACTTGTGTGTTGTCTAGAATTAATTTTTTAAAACTTTTGAACTGGAAAAAATAGGCTGCTTACAATTTCAAATCTATTACATTAATTACAGTGTTGAAACTTTCAAATACTGGTTTATACTAACATTGAAGTTTCACGTGCGATTGAAAATGTTGGGTACGAACGACGGTAATTATTCAGAACAATCTTGGGAGACCAAAAACACCAAATTTGGTATTGAACGTTCACCGGAAGTGAAATCTACTTCCGGGTGTAAACTGCATGGGAGGGTCAACTCAAATAGTCAATACAAAAGTTAACAGTGTTGGAAACAAGCCTTGAAATAGCTACCCAGAAAACGTTGTTTTTCTATAACTAACACACTATAGGCTTGGTAAAGGCAATTCCAAACTGCAGATTCATCTTCAAATATGTCTACTAGTGTGGAATTCGAGAACGAAGATGATTTTAAGAATGCCATTTCAGAATGCCGCTCAGACAACTTTGAGACAAACTGGTAAGCGAAAACATGCATGTTTTGGTACAAAGTTTATTTAATCGCGTGTGTATGATATGTCGTAGGGAAGGTTGATATTATAAAAATATCTGACTATAATGCTTGATAAATTCTCTAGAATTATGATTCTTTCACATTAGATCGGTCGCTGTCGTTTTATTCGACATAATGTCAGTTAATACTGTGCCATATGGTAGAATGTAGCTGAAATAAATGGGGAAAAAATAATTGCAAAATTTATTGCAACTTTACACATGGTTTAGCAACATATTTTTGTGAATGTCTCAATTATAAGAATAAATGTCCATTTATAAATTCGCACGCTGTGGTTTCCAAATATTTGTATTCCCCAAATATTATTTTGAAATAAATTTAATATATTCCTCACTGTATAAAAAGGCTAAAGTTGGAATTCTAGCAATTCTAGTTGCATTGTAATTTTACTCGATGTTTTCGTTTGTCGCGTAACTGTAAACATCGAGCATAATTGACTCAGTGTCATGTCTGTTTGTTCGTTGTTTGAGCGGAGATTAAAAAACATTTTAATTTCTGGTTTATTTCCAAATTAAATTATTTTTGCATTATTAAATATGTACACATATGTGTTTGGGGGAAATGTGTGCATGTAAAACAATATTTTACGCGCAAATACCTACAGTATAAATAGATTAATCTTCTTACAACTCCATAATTGTGCCCAAATAAGGCACAAGCCATCCAATTGTGAGAATAATTTCAGTGTTAATGCATTATATCTGCTGGTGGTCAGTTCATCCTTCATACCCAAAATAATAATTGAGCAAGATATGCACTTCAATTCCAATGAGCTGTGCAGTGGAGTTCAGCATTTATATAATATATAGTTTATGCATACTTGACCTATATGCTTGGCAAAATTTTGTTCATGAATGACACGTTCATAAGCAAACTAGGTTCTTCCCCACCCCATTGCCATCATTGTTCTAACCCATTGTTCCAATCCATTAAAAAAGCAATCAATCACAAATGAAATTTTACAAATGAATATTACAGGGCTCAAAATAACGGGAGATAGGGTCTCCGGTCAAGATGACCGGTCAACTTTTAGCCCCGATCAAAATCTGTTTTTGACCGGCCATTGATATGCTTACACTAACAGTGAAACAAACTATTAGAAACTTGCTTCGATACATCATAGGTTCATGTTTTAATTCAAGATGTCAGCAATCACATTGGAAGGCACAAAAATATGGCCAGTCAAAATGACCGGTCGGTGAGGTAAAAAAGTGGCTGGTCAAGAGGCATTTTTGGTCAGTCATTGTCCTTTGACCGGCCGTTATTTTGAGCCCAGATGTTAATTAGCTTGTGTTTGCTTGTCTTTATCATTAGAGTAAGTTCACTTGTCTTTATCATAAGTTCGCTTGGCTAGGCATTAATTAGTCAGGTGGCTGTCCTATACATGGCCACACCCATAGTATGTTTTGGTAACACCAGTTTTGACTTCCTGGCTAAAAGCCTGCTTTATCACCGAGAACTTAGAGTATGTGTGCAAACCTTGTTAAATTATATCAAATTGTATGCTTAGGGTTTTAGCACGACATGTAGATCAGAATCCCAATCTTGTTACATTGAGTGGGTTTGGAAACGGTGGAGCTGAGGAACTCAAAGAGTCTTTGGAGGATGATAGCGTGATGTATGGACTAGGTAGGAGTTGTATGATTTAGACATGTAGCAAAAGTAGATGTAGTAACTAGATCAGCCTGCATCTGGTAGGAATGGGTTGGGATTTTCCATTGGTATGTACCATCATACTCCGATACCACCAGTGGAGTTGGCATTGACCAGACTTTGCTATGCATATTATGTTTAATACCTGAACGATGGAAATTTTCACGAAATCTGTGATGGTTGTGGACATTTGCTAGTAAGAAATGAGTCGAGCTCTATGTATTAATTGGGTAATTAGTGAATATGTGCTGGTCATCGAGTGACCATCAAAATGGTAACGTATTGTGGCAGGTATGCATCATCACTGTGGAAAGATGTACTGACCTGGGAATGTCTGTATATGTTCTAAGCATGTCAGAAGATTTTTAAAAATAAGTTTGCTTAAATGGTCAGAAAGACCCAAGTACTGATTTTTTTAGGGGTGCACCAGAACCAATTTTTTAAGTTCCGGCCGGAACTGGAAAAAAGTTCCGCCCAGAACTTCTGGCTGGAACCGATTCATTAAGCGATATTAATGGTCATATGTTATTTGTCTGCTGCCAGACAGTCGGACACTTTCAGTCATCAAGGAGAGAGCATGCAAATGTTAGAATAAAAAGATTGACTATCGTTAAACGTCATAATGAAGTGTTAATTATAGTGTACATTTTTCTTGTGTAGTTCAAATTTCTTCCTATGCTATTCAATAAATAAACTTGATGTTCATTTATCTCTCTGAAAACGACAAAGTTCCAGTTCTGTCCACGGTTTTTTTATTAGTTCCGGCCGGAACCGGAACTCTGAACAATCGGGGTTCCGGCCAGAACTAACTGGCTGGAACTGAGTTCCGGTGCACCCCTAATTTTTTTAAGCCCAAATAACTGAATCCAAATCCCATCTCAGTCAAGGTGAAACTGGCCACAAAATTCTTCACTGGAGGTCACAACACTGCTACAAAATCCAATCCCCAATCTACAAGTGAAGTAGAACAACCCTTTAATAACTTTCATAGTGAGGTTTCAAGAACAAATTGATCAAAGTAGTACCGTGAAGTTTGTCTACATCCACTGGATTGGCAAGCAAGTTCCTTTCACAATGAAAGGTAGATATGGCATTGTTCGTGGCAGTGTCAACAAAAGCTTTCAGGTAAATGTTGTCTACTGAATTACCATAGTTACATGTACTGTCTTTACCTAATTATTTTACTCTTCAAAAGCAGAGACTCTTTTAATTGTATGAATAGGTATTCAACTTAATGAGCTGCAGCAATCAATCTCCCCTGACGTATATAAAATCATCAGATGTTAGAGAGAGTAAAATAATATTGCAGGGTGTGTCACTGGTACAATGTAACTTAATGGGTTAACTAGACACATAGGTAGATTTAATCACATTGAGTGCAAGCACTCTCCCATTGATGAGTAAAATTGTCTGGTCTTAGACAGAGTAAAATAATAATGTAGGGTAGATCAGGGTACAGTGCAATTTAATGGGTTAATATTTTCATTTAATTTTTTAATCTAATCTATTAATTTTAGCCCCACCATGTGTCAGTTGAGACAGATAATGTTTCAGATCTAGACCATGAAGCACTACTGAATGTAATTAATGAAAACAGGTACAGTTGTCAGAATGTTTTGCTATAAATGTTTAATACCCAAGCTTCAGTTTCCATATGATCGAAATGGTCGTAAAGATTTAGTCACAAATTGAGTCTTTCTCAACAACATAAATACAACGGTTTAAAACTGAAAATATGCAGAGTCTGGTTATAAATAGAGAATAATTATGATTGTTTACAGTGTATTAAACATTATTTAATTATAATCTGGGTGTTGAGAAAGATTGTAACACTGTCTTTATGACCATTACAACCATATGGTGGAACAGCTATAAAATAGAGAGGCCGTTTTAGATTTGACTACCGCTGCCATTAAAGGACCATTAACCAATCAGATGTGTTTGATTTATTCGATCAACCAATCAGATGCATATGTCAGTGACTAGAATGAGTCAGTGAGAGGCAGCAGTAGTGGAAGTCAAATCCGAACCTCTCCAATAATCTACGTCATGCATAAAGTTACTCGCTAGTATTAATTCTGCCCCTTGATGTTTTAGTGGTACAAAAAATAAAGTCTTGGATGCAGAGCAAGCAAGTGAAAGAAAGGTGAATGTGAAATTGTTTAATTATGTCATTTATACCCCGAACATATTAGTCAGAGCTTAAGATGTTGTTAATCTAGTATGCGGACATGACAAAAAGCACACCCTAAATTCGCAGTGTCAGCAACACAGGTAACAAATATGGATTATTTTTGTCAACAAAGATTAGTATACAGGTGAAAAACAAATTTGAACTGGTAACAAATCCAAAAGAAAATCATAAGTAACTGTCTTTTGTCACATCCGCGTACTAGACTTAGCTGATCTTAAGTTTGCTATTATTCCAGTCAATATCACCCATAGTATCTGTACTAGTGTCTGGTGATTACTTCAGGAGTTAGAGAGCCATTGAGTGACCCTACCTCCGTAGAAGCTTAAACTCTGAATTCAAAATGTGTCTGCATCAAAACTCAAAAACTGATATTTAGAATTAGGAATTCTGGAGTTACAGCTAGCCACTTAAAAGTCATTTGGAATAGTGGACTACAATTATTGTTGGGAACTTGCCCATAGTGCATTTTAATTAAGGGCCACAGATCTGTGGCGAGTGAGAATGCCAGGAAACTCCCGCCAAGTAACATTTGGCATAGCCATAGGTTTGGAAGCATTTGGTAGGATTAGTAAAGCTAATTTTGTCTAGTGAGAGCCTTTGATTTGGAGAAACATGAGAAATTTTACCAAACAATGGAAAGTTTGTTCATTATAAAGTTACCAAAATGGCAGCATCTGGTGCAAGAAATTTTCTTGGCGGGCAAAATTTATAGAAAGCATACTGGACACTTGCGGTTTTAGATCAGCTGTGGTTATATCTCCCTCCTCTCCATTCATTGTTGTTTACCTAACCTGACACACCAAAGTAAGATGGTAACTGGCATCCAATATTGAAAGGCGGGGGAGTGAATTAAAGTTTGTCAAAATAATAGGTAGTCTGGGCATCGGTGTTGCAACACTGACATTTGAAAATGATTGTAGCTATATTCAAACTTTCTACAGACATGGTGCAGGACTTGTTAATAAACATGTTCTGCCATATTGTAGGCGTATGATCGTGGATTTACAGGACGCGAGACTGGCAATAATAAGAAAAGGGTCACAGGTGGTTTCACTGGGTTTCAAGGAAAAAGTGGCGGTATGTAATATTTATTTGTACGCAATACCATAAATATGAATGAAGTATTATAAATATGAAGTGTGGTGAGCCTTTGTGTACTGCAAAACACATATGAGTCACGATTTAGGAACAGTTACTATTTTTATACTTTTAGGGTTAGGATTAGGGTTTGGATTAGGGAAAGGATTAGGGTTAGAATTAGGGTTAAGTTTAAAATACAAAAGAATACAAAATTACAAAAGTCCAAAAAAGTAACTCTTCCTAAAACGTGGCAGGTATACAAAAACAAATTTTGTGTATATATATTAAAGAACTATGTGTGGGAAATTTCTTATAGCTTCAGTGAAATTCGATGATTCTGTACATGACGCGGCATCAGATCTTCGGAGTGACACAACTGAAACAAATTGGTAAGATTCTTTCTTCATTTTTGCCCCCGTCAAGGTTGGGGTCTTCTATTTATTAGCTACAAGAGTTGCATGAGAGTTGATGAAATTAAAGGTGATTCGATATTCGCCAGGCCACCCTCGATTTACAGTAGCAAGCCGGCTTTCTCAGGGGTATAGGGCAGCGTTCGCTCTCGTTCTCTCCTTAAAAAGTTACTATACCAGTTAGTTGTGTTGTCAATAAATTTTTTCCATATATTAATAATTCGACCATCCTTAGGTTCGTAGCAGGTTATCAAGATGGTAATCCAAAGTTACCACTCATTTGTCTCGGTTCTGGATCTGAAGGTGTCGGTGGAATAACGGAGATATTAACTAACGATATTGTGGGTTATGCCCTTTGCAGAGTGGTAGGTGCTGAAGTGGACTAAATTAAAAAACTCGATAATTCACAAGGAAAAGACAAAGCTGGAAATCACTGCCGGTTTTATATGTGATTAAAAAAATTGTGTTCATTTACATAAACTTTACTTTTGATTTTTTCGGCTTGGACAACGTTTATTTTTAACATTACTTCTCCAATGACAATGAACTCTTTAGATGGGTCGTTTTTTTAAGCCGTTTAAAACGCTTGCAGTCCGTGCTCTATCAGATATAAAACACTCGAGCTGCGCTCTCTGATCTGATAAGGCACTCCTGGTCAACTCCTGGTCGTGTTTTAATACATAGTACTTACTACTACTTAGGGCAACTTAGGGCAGTCCAATTGAAGCTGCGAATTGAGATGGATTATTATTGTTAAATTAGTCGCAAATGTTTACACTGACGCTGATATACATAGCTAAAACTGCGACTCGCTAACTTTTTCTTGTTGTAATTTCTAGACAGACGTTGTAGACGACATATCGACAGTAAAATTTGTTTACATTCAGTGGGTCGGAGATAATGTTAAACCGCTTGTCAAGGCAAAGACAAGCACGCACAAAGCTGACTTGGAACAGATATTTCATGTATCCTTTGTTTTGTATGTTTTGTGTAGGTTCCTAAATAATCCATGCAGAAGGCAGACCCTTGAATTCAGTTTTTGCAGAGGCATGAATGATGCGACATGTGTGTAGCGCATTGTCTACTGTGTGTTCTTTTAAATACACCTACATCATCAGAAAGTCTGTTCAAAGTTTCTCCGATGTAAAACTCTTTTTTCACTCCTTGGAGCCGCTATCGTATCATTATTGATCGAGCCTGCAAATGCCAATACTTAATAGTAGATGATGGTGGTGATTATGATGATGATGGTGGTGATTATGATAATGGTGATGACGATCATGGTGATGATTGTGATACTAATGGTGGTGGTGGATAGTGATAATGATAGTGGTGATGTTCATGATGATGAGGATCGTGATGATGATGATCAAGGTGATGATTGTGGTAATAATGGTGGCGGTGATAATCATGGTGATGATGATCATGGTGATGATGATCATGGTGATGATGATCATGGTGATGATGATCATGGTGATGATGATCATGGTGATGATGATTATGGTGATGATAATCATGGTGATAATGATCATGGTGATGATGATCATGGTGATGATGATCATTGTGATGATGATTATGGTGATGATAATCATGGTGATGATAATCATGGTGATGATGATCATGGTGATGATGATCATGGTGATGATGATCATGGTGATAATGATCATGGTGATGATGATCATGGTGATGATGATCATGGTGATGATGATCATGGTGATGATGACTATGGTGATGATGATCATGGCGATGATGATCATGGTGATGATGATCATGGTGATGATTGTGATAATAATGGTGGTTGTGATTGATGATGGTGTTGATGATCATGATAATGGTGTGATGATTATGATATTGGTGGTGCTGATTGTGATAATGATGGTGATGATCATAGTGATGATTGCGGTAGTATGGTGGTGGTCAGTGATAATGATGATGGTGATGATTATGATAATTGTAGTGATGATGATAATGGTGGTGATGATGATAATGGTGGTGGTGATGATGATCGTGGTGTTGACAATATGATCATATGGTAATAACTGTGGTAGTGATAATCATGGTGGTGTTGATTATGATGGTGATGGTGGTAGTGATAATGATGGTGGTATTGATAGGTGATGTGTGACTGACCAGAAGTGTACCACAGAAACACAATCTTTCCTTAATTCAAATCTTAGCCCGCTCATGCGACAATATTCGCCAACAGCCAAGATGAGATCAGTGAGAGCGAAATAATGGACAAAGTCCAAAGTTCAAGCGGATCCAAGAGTCACGTGAGAAATAACACTGATTGAGCACCTCCATTATAGATGACGTCATTGTGCCCTAGGCACTCCAGTTACAGCGCTGCATACAGTAGCCGCTTGACGTACAACACTGTTGAATTTTTGTAATATGAATTAAATTAATTTAAATATTACTGGACAATTTTAGAATGTATTATAGAAATTTCAACATATAGAATATATGATACATGTTGCACAATATTTGTAATGACTATAAGAAACGTGGTCTGGTGTAATTTAAGCCAAATTAAATTAAATACGAAATGGTGTGAAATCTCTCGATAAGTTGGCAGTCATTGAATGAGGCCGGATTCTTCGTGAGAAATTTTGTCTGCGAAATACAGATGGTTGTACCTCGATGGGTTGCACATGAGGGATTCTATTGAATTTTCGCACTTTACTGCTGCATTTTAAAACGGGGTAAATGATTTTTCCCGATATGTTTGACGTTACTTTCAATGTCATTGCCATACTGTTGTTCCAACAATTAGCATAAACTACGCACCCCTTCGTGTTTCACACGCGCGTGTCGCGCAGCCGTGATGTCTAATTGAGAGCCTGGGTTTTAGGCGGGAAAAGTTTAAATGGCCGAAATTGTAACATGTGTGATTTAAAAGTCTCCGAAGAAATTGCTGTCTTCTGTGGAAAAAAAACAGCTTGGAAATTACCTCAAAATTCCAAAGACTGTTGAGTAAAGACTGTAGATTACCTCTCGACTGTATAAGGAACGAATTCGCTTGCCAAAAATTCAGGATATAAGGATATTTGACCGTGAACGAGCTGTTTAATATTCAACAAGCGATCATGTAGAAAGCCTTCGAAATACTTGTTACTTTTGTTTGGTAAGTTTATATACTATGTCGATAATTAGTATATATATATAAACTATATAAGGACTATCTTTTCGTATTGTTGCATGAACCGTATTTATGAGGGATAAGGAACCATGAATCTAACATTTCTTTGAAGGGCTTAATCGAGATATTTTTATGTCTGTTCTCAGTGTTCTGTACTTGTGTAATTGTTCACCAAATTATGTCGAAATTCGAATGTGTATCACTGTGTGACTGTACCTATACAAAAAATTATAACGGAATACATACGCCACTCAAATACTTGAATCACTGATGTATGGTTGTCTTGCATATCCACCATGAATGTGAATATATGTTCACAATCAGTGGCTCTTGCATCATTTTTTGCATGCAGACTGGTGTTGCAAAGTGTGGGTGTTTACATTACTTGTCATCAGAATCCTTACTCCTGGGCAGTGATTGGAAACGTAGCTCCAGCTGCAAATTTGAGAATGATACAGGATTCTGGATGTTTTTTGGGGGGTGGGGTGCTGGGTGCACACTCCATCAGCACACACACTCTGACTTATCTTCAGAATTTATAACCACATCCTACCCTCCCCACCCATCCAGTGACCACATACAAACATACTTTATATTTGAATTTAATTAAATAATTATACAAATTTATATGTACATATAATAGACAGCTTAATAGCAACTAACTGTGGACCTGCCGCATTCTATTTAGCATACTAACATAAATTCTTCCTAATGAAGACTATAAAATTTATTTGTCAAACTGTTAAAAGAGAATTTAAAATTAAATTATTATATAATATTATATTATATAAAAGTAGGCAAATTGTCATATTATAAATGAACACTACTATAGATATTTAAATTATGCACAAGCTATACAGACTATTATATTGCCATGTAACTGATGGTGGTCAACCAACAGTTGAAAGAGTGAAAAAATATAATAATTGTTCATTCCCTTTCATTACTGTCATTCCAATTGAAGTGTTGCTCAAATATTGATTCAATAGATTACCTTGGGCTGACCAATTCATTTCATCAAGTTCCTCGAGATATTCATACACTTCCTAGTATAATTGTAAACTTCCTGTTGAATAGTTTGAATGCACCAATCACCTTTGTTATATTTGTGCAACTAACCAATCATAAATAGAAAGGAAGTATGACCAGAAATGATTAAATACTTGGAATTGGCTCTTTCACAGGAAGTGTATGAATATCTCGAGGAACTTGATCAAATGAATTGGTCAGCCCGAGGTAATGTATTGAATCAATATTTGAGCAACACTTCAATTGGAACGACAGTAATACAATGGGTTGTTCCAGGAAAGATCCACACTCAGAAGAGATTTCTGCTGTCCAGAAAGGGGGGGGATTTGTTTCTGATAATAGTGTATATAGGGATGTCTGAAGGGGGTAGCAGGGTTAATTACTGTAATTTCCTCTGTGAGTGAGGTATGGATGTTTTCTGGAATGATCCAGTGAAATTCATAGGACAGAAATATTATCATTGATTATAGATATTTTTAAATTACATTTTTGCTCCTATAAGTATGAGGTCTTTAAAATTGACCACCATCTACTATCGTTCAATGGTTACTGAACCTAACCATGTACTGCTAGCTGGCAGTCTGACCAGCAGCTCTGCTCGAACTACGCATACATTTACCAACCATGCAACTCCATACTTAGAAAGATGTTTGATTGACATCTTTAACAGACACTGTATCTGTCACATCAATTTCTACCGCTACACCAGACTCCAAATGCGAAGACTTCCCAACTCCTTCCATCTCTACCACTACACTAGAGTCTATTGCTGCTGACCCCATCTCGTTTTCTTTCTCATCTTTGGCGATGTCCACAGCAACTTTGGTTATTGGTGGAGGTAATTCTGGCGTAGATGCATCATTTTCAACCTTTTCAGAATTCTCTATTTCGGAACTAGATTCATTTGCCTCTACCTCTGTGGCCATATTTTCATCTGGCTTTGTTGTGTGAACCGTCACAGAAATTTCAAAACTTGATTGAGATTGTACATCGGATTCTTTCTGTTCTCCCTCCCTTCCTCCTTCCTTTTCTTCCACTTTTTCATTTTCTATTTCCATGATCTCTTTTCCGTCCACCTTATCCACTTTGCCTCCTTCTGTTTTCATACTTTCCTCTATTTCTTCAGATGCTAAGGAGATTGTGGAGTTCCTAGTTGAGTCCGATTGGAATCCTGGATTCTTCACACCGGGCGTTTTTCCAAACATTGCGTCGATTGAAGAAAATGATGGTCGCTCGCTAAGATTCTTGTACACCTTAAGAATTAAAGATAAAATGTTAAAAAAAAAACAAAGCCTGCAATACCCCACGGTTGGATGTCACGCAAATATAAATTCTACATTTTGATCATGAACATCAATGGCTTTCTTAATCCAAACTCCTGAGTCGAAAACCTGAGTTGTTCCTCTACATCCTCTTTGCTTTACCAACCGACTCAGTTTTACTGATCATTTCCAAACAATTTACCGACAAGTCATGGTTTTCCCTACATAATCTCTGTCTTACCACGAGTTTTCTAAAAAGTGAGGGGGTCGCCCCCCCCCCCCACACACACACACACACACTCGGTACGCCCCTGGTTTAGTGCTAGTTATACCCAAGCAAACTTTGTAGCACTTGTAATTGGCCTTGCATGGGTTGTTTATGTAATACTGCTTAATTAGGTTTGACTGGCAACTTGCGCAAGAAAGCTTTCTAAATCATTCCATTATACAGTATATAGGTTATTATTCTTTTCTTTGGTAGGAATAATTTGCTTTAAGACAATCGTTGCAGGACGTTTTAAGACTCGTCTTTCTGCACGGTCCAGTCTCTCTCTGTTAATTTGTCAGTGATACATAATTATATTTATTTTCCTTCATCCTCACCTTATCTGATCGAGTCTCTACCCAGGAGAAATTGGATTCAGGATCGCTGTGTTTTACTCGTAGATATCGGAAATAGCTGAAAACTGGAATCTCTGCAAATGCCTGTGAGGAAATATTGAATATTAATTAGACTTAAGTTAACAAATGTTTTCTTTAAAGCTTTGCATGCAGGCGTCCACAGTAAAAATAAGGAACAATTTGTCGTTACACCATGCATTTAATTTAATTCTGAGCTTTTGGCCCGTGCACTCGGGCCGTCTTCAGAGAAAGCTAGAATGAACATCAGATATCTCAGAATTAAATTAAATACATGCATGGTATAACCACAAATTGTTCCTTGTTTTTAGACTTAAGTTTTTATTATACATGCGTGCAGATAATTACATATACATTTATCTAGAGAGATGTGAGTACACCGACTCAGTAATTTAATTAAGGGTCTTTATAACGGTGATTCGATAACCTACAAATATTTTAGTAACCGTTGGTTACTAAGAATCTTTAATCCATTTTGCTGTATTTCAACTTTCGTTTGAATACCGGGGAACTTATTAATTTTGTGATCATAGCAAAAGTGTAAAAAATTCTTCCCTCAAGACACTTGCCGAAACATTTGTATTTTTGTTGGGACTAGATTTTCCTCTTCAATTTTCCTCTGGACCTAACTGTTTTTCATGTATAACAAAGTTTCGAAAACAAAATGGGGGTGCTTAACGTAATTACTTGGTTTGATATGTTTGGTATGCTGATTTACGATTTTGGCGGCAAAACAGTTCCATCTCAAGTGGCTGTTACACTTAGACGTAATTTACCATTATGTACACATAAGGTAGTCATTAGCGCCGTATAATGTTCCATTGAAAGTGGGGGTCTAGGGATATATCCGCTTATTCTAGATGCATCTTATTCAAAGGGTCTTTGACTGATTCGTGATGGGATAAAATCTACCTGAACTAAAAGCCCTTTCTTTGGTCGAGTGGAAAATTTGGGGGTTCTTGATTTATCATCCGATGTTATATAATCTTCTCGTATTGAAAATGACTGAAATGAAATATTGCATGAAACTTACCATTAAGAAGATTGCAACAAATCTGAAAGTCCTCTCCCATTTCTCAAGCTAAATGGAGTAAATGATTAAAACATTACTAATTTGCAATAATTTATTCATGCAACCATCATACCTTGATTGCATGTACAAATATATATGTGCATGGTTCTGTGTTTATCAGCTATTTTGCTACTATGGCTTTTGTGCAGTGTCATCCTCTTAACATCTTAAATGAAGTCTTCTATGATGTACCATATCAATATTGCTATGCCTAACTTCACAAATATGTCAAAACAATTAATGAGTGGCTGGATGGCATCGAGAACAGTGGGATTTTCAAAACAATGAAAAAACAATGGAACATCGCGATCACTGTATCATGATACAGTCATAGATGGCACTATTGTTATGCTAACTCTAAGTGTTTTGCCAAGAAACAAAATCTCGTTAAGCTTTGCAGAGATTTTATGTCGGCCACAATCATTAAAGCTGCTGCATGCTTTGTTTCTCATTCAACTTGAGCGCTTTCCTATCAACCATGAGTGTGTCTGAGTGTTTTGACACTTAGGTAAAATAACTCTTCACGAATATCTATACTTGAACACGTGAACAGACACTTCAGAATGCATGCACAGTGGGCGTATGAAGATCCTTAATCAATTTATTAAAATAACTCTTCACGAATATCTATACTTGAACACGTGAACAGACACTTCAGAATGCATGCACAGTGCATGCACAGTGGGCGTATGAAGATCCTTAATCAATTTATTAAAATAACTCTTCACGAATATCTATACTTGAACACGTGAACAGACACTTCAGAATGCATGCACAGTGCATGCACAGTGGGCGTATATGAAGATCCTTAATCAATTTATTAAAATAACTCTTCACGAATATCTACATGAGCACGTGAACAGACACTTCAAAATACATGCACGCTGCATGCACAGTGGGCGTATATGAAGATCCTCAATCAATTCAACCATTAAAACTTAATGCGTTTTCAACTGAATAACACCATGTATACTTTAAATACTGGAAAAAATATTGTTAATTGTAATTGAAATGATTATACCTTTCGTGCGGATTTACTCTCTAATTTATAATCATTATTAGACATTAACGTAAAGTAACCAGGTACTTACAATGTTAATGGTACTTAAGACTACAGTTACAATGAATAAACCATTTGAGTTTATATAATGGACTATTTACAGCTTGATATTGGTCGAGTATATATAAAAATCGTTTGATATGACAAAAATAACTGAAGACCTTATTGTTTGTAATAGAAATATTGAAATCAAAGAAATGTATGGAATGGGGTACCCGGTCACGAAAAACGACTAGAAATTTTATTTGAGTTAGAAATATGCCCTTGGCTTACTGATTCTCACTGGTGTCATTGCATGACACTCCATGCAACCACGCGAAATCTTATACTAAAATTGTCTGGGAGGAGTCACAAATGTTCTTTTTGTGCAACCATGCATAGTGAGAATAATTTTTCACTGGTTTAGTGTTAACAGGAGCACACATTTCATAATATCAATATTTCATTGGGTGGTATTTAGTTAAGTGTAGGTCATTACTCATTGCAATATTGCTCGTGTGTGTTGCGTGGCTATTTTAGGTCATCCCTACCTCGTTGTATTTCCGGGCCAGAAAAACAATCCAAAATACTATCAATATCACATTCCATATCATCCAGGCAAGAATAAACATTCTGAATTCCTAAAAAAGGACATTTGGAATAGGTTAATCGTATCAGTTAAAAGGTTATTAAAAAAAATTAAGTATTTGGGATTGATCATAGATATTGATATATAGTTATTCACTAAATCTCTCACATCATAACGACAGACTAAATATTTTATGGAAAGGATTTTGAAAAGGCAATGTGATTAAACTAACCGTGATTGATCCATATAACAAGACACTTGCAAAGGCAAGAGACACCACACACACAGCAAAGTCTATATTTCTCCAAAATTCCCATTCTGTAAGAAATAAGTTATGGTATATAGTTATCTATACTATCGCTTCCACACTGTTAATTGCAGGATGTTAAAATAATTTTTTGGGGGGAAATAAAGATATTGGAACAAAATCTGGCTCCAAAAATGGAATCATTCTTTACCGTTTTACACCAGAATTGGAATCAATTTGACTCCCGGAAATTAACAGTGCATGCATCATGCATGCATTTAATATTTATCATTCTGTATCACTGTTAACAATGAAGTATAATCTCAACCTTGTTTTGTATAGTTTTTATATATGCTGTATAAGTATAATATTTAATTCTAATTTCAATATGCAGTTTGAATTGGAAACTGGAAAAACTTAACATCATGATATTTCAAGAAGAGGAACAATTTTAATCCAATATTGGATTTCAATTTGAAAATTTCCATACGTGGTTCCTTTTCTGAGTTACCACATCACCTGTGTAGTTACGAAGACGTCAGATTGGTATTAATAAATCTGATCAATTGTTTTCCCAAACTTCGTACGAGAAGTCTGCTAAATTTGCCCCCCTTCGGTTTTCGGTTCCTGCTCTGTCGGAACTCCCACAAGTGCCTATCACAATGGCGTTTTGACGTCCTTGCCAAGTTCATGCATGCATGTATGTTGTCATGTTTTGACGTTGCTGTGCTAGCGCGTTGCATGCATCTATCATGTTTTTAATTCCGTTTGGGAAACCGCAACGACATCGGTGTAAAATTGCCGCATAAAGAAAAATGTTCTGCCAAAATTCACGACATTAAGCTGAAGCGGTTGTCTTTCCGGTGATGGCTAAAATCTAGGCGAATAAACGTCCATTGGCATTGAACAATTTTAAGCTAAAGCAGCAAGCCGAAAATGTATCACGTGCATGCAGTCAAACCACAGATCATTCATCCATATATGATAGCTGTGATAGTTTACCAAATAGTAACATTCCATTGTCAAAAATGTTATAAGGTGGCTCCATGCCCAAATTCAACGAGTGGCTCCCCTTTGAAGTTGGGTTACTGATAATTTTTTATTGCATTGGAATTTGCTTATTTCTTGGTCTTTGTATATTTCATGAGTCACAAACGTATCGCAAAAGCCGCCATTCGTTTCAATGGATTGAGAAATCGCCTTATATGGAATAGCAGTACCGCTACTTTGTAATCGCATAAAATACCTTTGTTGTCTCCAAAATCATCTGGGATCTCTCTTGTAGCATATATTGCCACAGCCAGTGCAATCTACAAAGAATAAGAAATATTTAATAATTTTTGTCATTAATCAATGTTAACAAATGCACATTTTGTTAATTTTATGGATAATAGAAGACCAACCGAACGGATGCTTAGTAAAAATGCCTTAGTTTAGTTAGTTAAACATAGTACCATGATGCATGCAGTATAGTTTAGTTAGTTAATTAAACATAGTACCATTATGCATGCAGTATAGCAGTAGCCCATGGCCATATAGGCTAAATTAAATGTATAAGTTTCCATCCATTAAGCCGGACACAAAATTTTGCCTAAAATAGGCACGTTGATATATACTGATACATGCAGATCTAACATGAATACATTGATTAATCGACACATTATTGGTGCATGTTCACTGATTTATTGATGCATTGATTGTTGATACATTCGTTTATATACATTGTCATTGATAGTGAGTAAGTGAGGGTGTCCTATAATCATCCTTGCTTGCAGCTGAGAGCTAAGCTGAATTACAAAGAACGCTGTTTAAGCTGATCGAGTCAAATGTTTTCTGAGGGCTATGGCTGCATGCCATCTAATGCTTCATGTCTGGTCACGGAACACAGCTACGGTTGAAGGGTCAGTTATAGAGGCTATAATCCCAACCCACCCTGTCAACGTTCCCGAGACGCGCTTGCTTGCTCTGACGCGAGCCATCGACATCCCGTCGCGGATGCTTGTAGTATTGCAAGGATTGAGCGTTTGCCAAAATAAGAATCATTGAAGACAATACGACATGGTAGTTGTTCGTGACATATATGAGCAATTAGGCCGAGGCGGTGTCCGAATTATTTTTATGCACTGGAAGCGAGGGCGTGTTTGGTGCGTCAGAAACATAACAGAGATACCAACGCGTTCCATGTATTGTTGTACTTTATACGTGCATCAGTGGATGTGTTATTTATAAACCCCCCAAAAATGATTGGCAAATTTAAAACCAGTTTTGTTCCAATTTAATGTTAACATTTAATATTTAAAACAATAACGTACAGAAAAATTTCTGTGAGATAGCGATTGACTGATACGCCAGACGAAAAATGGAATCTCAGATATACATGATGTGATACTAAATTTCTCAGATACTAAATCTCAGATACTAAATTTCTCAGATACTAAATTTCATGCAGATACATACATTTTGTGTGTGTTGGTGTTATGTACTCAGGTTAATATGATGTTTTTGTGGTGTTACTCTGAGTGTGTATCCACACCTGACAAGCTGAGTATACATACAAAACATTGTTGCCTAGCTGATCTGTTTAGTTTCTTTATGATTTCATGATTTTCATCATGATCGTCACTAATACTTTTTGACTTTTGATAGTTAAAAAGTAATTAAAATCCTTAGCTTGAACAGAGAAGCACTGAGGTGTACATGCAAATACATGCCGATGTACACCTCACACAGGGAGATTAGTGAATCATTAAGGATACTTGCAACGCTGTAACAGTTTTAACGATCCTGTTAGTTTTGGTTATTATCATGCATGTATGTGAGTTTGCCATGCTAATGTGCATGTTTGTGCTACGGTCATATTTCTACTGTACGAGTGGTTAGCGAATTAGAAAACAATTACTAGTTATATGTGGTGGTAAAATTACAAATCACCGCAAGGTGTTTATACAAGGTGTTAAAGTACAAAAAGCAACCAAAAACGAGTTTCGGGTTTATATCTCGGCTGTCAAGATAAAAAAAATTTGCGTGACCCATGCCACTTGTGACGTAATATGCATATCCTCGATAATCCAAAATGGCGGACAGCTCATTGCTTTCAGTCAAAATATCTCAAGAATCAAGCAATTACTACTGCAGACGTTCCAACTTGACATCTCCAAAAATCGGGAGGTCTGGTAAAGGCAAGAAAACGTTGACCTCTACAGTGTGACTGGGTAGAAAATTTAGAAAATTTAAACTTTCTTTCAGAAGCGCCATTTGTTGATTCCGAGACTCGTGAATACAACAACTGTAAATTTCCGCCTTTCATGCGAAATATTACGAAACTTTGTCGTACAAAACACCCCTCTTGGCGAAATACCGCTTTTTTGTCGATCCGACAACCGTTTTTACCGTACGCGAACGGCTTTTACAAGGATTCTTTTAGAAAAAGTAACATTTTTTCTTTTCATTCGTAAAGTCGGGAGGTTTAAATACAAATCGGGAGATCGGGAGATTTGCCAAGAAATCGGGAGCCTCCCGATCAAATCGGGAGGGTTGGAACCTTTGAATTAGATATGGACAATCTGTAACAAGCTTTTACAGATAATTTTAAACGTTCTTTCAAATGAGCCAATATTTTTTTTGTTGGCATTGTCTTTTAAAGATAAACAGTTGAAATAAAAGAATTCAGTACTGACTGAACATGCTGCATGGAAGACTAACAACGAAAACTCATATGTGCATATCATATCTTTCATGATATGAAAAACGTAAAAGCCCAAGGTAAAATACAGGCCTTCAATGCATGTGTTTTACATAAAACTATACGTCGTCCGGTTTGGAAAACATTTCGTGTCGGGTTTGTTTCGTGTCTAACAACCGTACCATCTTTCTTCCATTTTTACAAAGGTGTTTTTTGAATGTTTAATTTTAAATAATTATTTGGTTCTTGTTTTATAAAGTTATTAAGTTATTACGTGGGATTCGTGGCCTAAACTGAATGTTTAGGAAGTGAAAGCAGTGACCGTAAAAGAATATATAGAAATGCAAGACTGTTTTTATTATCCTTCAGTTTGAAAGAAATGTGAAACGTCGCCTTGAGGTCACCTATAATTAACGATCTCTTTATGTTATATTATAATTTGTTTCCATTCCCGCAAAATGGCAGATCCCCGCAAAACGGTAGAATAGCATCCTTTCATGCATGCATTGTATATATATATATATATTTGATCAAGATGATCATATGCCTTAATCTGAATTATGATCGTATAAAATCTTTTTCGTCATTCTGTGTAAAAATGTGGAATTTGTTAAATGACTGTCTGAAGAAATGGATCTGTTATCTGTAAAATGTATGCTTTTACATATTCATAACCATTAAGTTTAGTCGGCTTGGCTTCACAAACATCCTGTTATAGCGTGTGGGCGACTGTCTTGTCGATTTGTATTCCGTGTACTAAAAATTAAGTTACATAGTTACCGCCAACATAAAGCTAGCTTGCTATGACAACGTGCAGCTCAAGTATAGATTGAAGCATCTATTTATGTAAGGGTGAGGTAACGAGGTTGTCTCCTGGGAAAAGATTATTAATATGGGGATCTTCAAACAAGCCGTTTGCCGCTCGTTGGATCTGCCAAGAAACCCTAGCTTGTAAGAAACCCTATACTTATGATAGCACCAACTATGTAACATGTTGGAGCAACACAACTTTGCAACCACGTAACAACAACTGTGTTTTTAATATGGGCAGTACATACAATTAGAGCCTTTCTCACCAAGGCTTATATTCGCCATTTTTGGTGTACTGTCGCCCCTCGACTTTGCAACTGTAAATTTACCATAAATTTTTTCTGTGTTGGTGTTGTGTACTCAGGTGAATATGATGTTTGTGATGTTACTCTGAGCTAGTATTCCAAAGGTCGTAGGTTCGATTCCCACCGTGGCCAGGCACATTTTTCAAGCTTGTCCGGTGTGGATACACACTCAGAGTAACATCACAAACATTGTAAATTTACCATTATACACACAACTAGATATAACTATGAAAAGTCGCGTTTCGCGGTGCGAAATATCAGACTTGGCAGAGGCATTATACCCTTCAAATGATCGATCAATTAATTGAGCGTGAGAAATAGAGAATAATACATGGGTGCGCGGAAATACCAGATTTATTTCGAGTGTTGAACATGATATCTCACGAATGAGCGCAGCGAACGAGTGAGATATCATGTTCAACACGAGAAATAAATCTGGTATTTCCAAGCACCCATGTATTTTTCTGTTTATTATATAAACAAAATTCAGTGAAAAGCAATAAAACGTCCGTGGCAATGCGTTTTACAACAAATGATATTTTCACACGTAAAAATATCGTATTTTTACGTGTGTTTAAATACAATTTTTCTCAGTGGCCATAAACTCTATATAACACTTATGTTTATATAATAAAGGCTAATATTGATTGAGCTAATTTTTATGTGCCGCCTGATGAAAAACAACTTTTCGGAGATACATAACTGTCATCTATATAGATTTGCACAATATATTTTTGAGAATTATTACTGCCTACTTCACATGAAATGCCTTTTTTCGTAAGCAACGCGTGTTTTGGAGAAAGATATTGTTTACGTCTATACGCCTACATTTTTAATGTTAGTAGCAATTATGTTTCAATCTTTAGAAACTAGGGGCGTCACCGTTCTTTTCACTTTAGAAAACGGCGACCTAAGGCGTCCTTAGATTAGAAAGAACGCCAACGTGAATGCAACGGCGAAACAAACTCTATAGAAATCTCCATGCACGCTTCCTTGTTGTCCACCGTAATGAATTAAATACAATTTCAAAAGGTCACCTTTTGAACGATGTTTTTCTAATCGCTCAAATATTGAAATAGTTCGTGAATGTGTTGAACTAGTTGATAGATTAAACATGGCGGTGAAATAGGACGTATTCCTTCAAGCTATTTTACCACTAATATGTTTCCCATTACTGTATCTAAACCACAAAACCGGCATCTTTGGTTGTCCTTGCCATCATAACATTAAATAACATCGCTCAAATGGCGATTGCCTTTATGAAGACCGCACTGGACCAATACAGTTTAGAGATGCTTCCTAAGTTTGTTTGGAAAACTACTTGTAATTATATAGCTTGAAATAACATAGTGTTGTATGTTAATAGATGTGAAATATGTATTTTACCTCTATATAAGCAGAACCTACAGCCGTAAGCTGTGCTAACAGAACCTGAAGCCTAAAACTCCCCCATGCTGATTATATCTGTTCTATTCATTCTCTCAATAACCGCGTCATCCATAGCTATACGTTGGCGTAATCAGCTTAACTCTCTATTCGCTGTACATAGCCATTAACATACGAGTGATTTTTCGTGCACCTAACTCCCATGCAAATATTTATCTTTGGATGTAATTGGCCGTATCCTATAGAAATTGAAATGATCGAAATTTAATTATACGTCTCGAAACTCCCTCACCACCGTGATCGTATATTGACGTCAGGCTACGCCCAAATATGACGATAAGATCTTTTCTATCATCGCGTGATATATTGCTGGTGCCTGAAACTGTCGCAAAGATTGAGTCACGATCTTTCTCAACGGCCAGATTATAATAGTTTTACCTGTAAGCCACATATAGGTCATAAGTATTCGCTATTTATAATCACTCTGCCTATTATCAGTGTTAAACTGTTGCTGGTATTTCAGCTGTTGAGAAATCAATCTTTACGATCGTTACGACAATATGGAAACCAGGTTTTAGACAGCTGCAGTATATAGTGGGTAACACTCGTATGGTGATCAACTTAATGTTGATTGTTGATACAAGCTAAATGATATATCTCTTACTTCTATATTTTTGTCTTCAAATACAATTAGACAATAAAAAAAGCACTTTATCATCTTACGTTTTCATAATTTCATTCGTGTACGTGTGCGTGTGCAGGTCTGTCTGTCTTTCGGTATGCGATAACTTAAAAAATATCAAACGTATTAATGCGAAAATTTGTAGGGCTAATGAACATTGCCCAAAGGACAACTTGATTAAATTTTGATTCAATTTGTATGACATTTGGATGAGAAATCAGCAAAAGTTTGTCTTGCTTTGGCAGAGTAAAATGAATGCGTAATTAGACCATTGTATTTGATGCATGATACGTAATTTAATTCGTTGGCCGAGGACCAAGGTATGCAGTTTCTGAGCACTCTCATCCGCAGAGGCTTTGTAGTTTGTTTTCTTTCTATGAGTTTGACTTGCGGCCGGCCAAATGTCCACGAT